GCTCAAGTGGTAGAGCGCTAGCCTTGAGCTGAAGAGCTGAGGGACAGCGCCCAGGCCCAGAGTTCAGGCCCCACGACCGGACCCCAAAACAAACAAACAAAAACAGATAAATCGAAAACAACAATAAAAAAGCAACTCTCCTTTGTTCGTCTTAATATAAACAGTTTACAGAATGGTTCTTTCTTTCTTTTTGATTTGTTTTGAGCCGGTACTGGGACTTCAATTGGGAGCCTGGACATGGTCCCTTAGTTTTTACTTTAGCTCAAGATTGGCTCTATAGAGGCTGGGAAGGTGGCTCAGCGGTAGAGTGCTTGCCTCACATGCATGAGGCCCTGGGTTCTATTCCTCAGCACCACATAAACAGAAAAGGCCAGAAGTGGCTCTGTGGCTCTAGTGGTAGAGCGCTAGTCTTGAGCTGAAGAGTTGAGGGACAGCGCCCAGGCCCAGAGTTCAGGCCACACGACCAACAACAACAACGAAAAAAGATTGGCTGTATGCCACTTGATCCACACTTCCACTTTAGCTTTCCATGTAACTAATAGTAGAGATGAAAGCCAACTTTTTGGTATTTTTTGGGAAGGCATATGATTTGTGTGTGTGTGTGTGTGTGTGTGTGTGCGTGTGTGTGCCATCAAACTCACAACCAGACTTTTCTGTTATCATCAGTGGTCCCATTTATTCTCTAGTCTAAAAGTAGAATTTTGGTTTTTTTTCTTCTGCCGATCCTGAGGGTTGAACTCTGGACTTGGGTGCTATCCCTGAGCGCCCAGAAGTGCTCAAGCCAAGCATTCTACCACTTGAGTCACTGCTCCACTTCCGGCTTTTTGTGGTTAATTGAAGATAAGAGTCTCATGACTTTCCTGCCTTGAATTTTGATTTTTTTTGGCCAGTCCTGGGGCTTGAATCTAGAGTCTGGGCACTGTCCCTGAGTTGCTTTTGATCAAGACTAGCACCCTACTGCGTGAGCCACATTGCCACTTCTGGTCTTTTCTATTTATGTGGTACTGAGGAATTGAACCAGGGCTTGGTGCATGCTAGACAATCACTCTGCCATGAAACCACATTCCCACCCTGAAGTTTGATTTTTTTTTTTAAGCCAGGTTAATTAATCAGCAATACCTTAAATGTTTAGGGAAAACAGGTGGCAAAAATCAGAAAGAAAAAAATGAGCCATATGACATCAGGGGATCAAAATACTTTGAATTAGTAGGTAGAAATATTCATTTGTGCTAGAAACTGTGTTTTGGTTAAAGTACCAGCATTTGAACCCAAGGCTTTTCTGTTGCTCATCGTGCTTTCTAGGGCTGGCTTTGAACCATGATCCTGCATAGCTTATCCTGAGTAGTGAGGATGACAGGCATAAGCCAAGGCACTTATCTGCTACTAGGTTTGATGTAGTTATCTTTATTTTGTAGATAAATGAATGTGAGAAGTTCAGTGACTACCTTCAAGTGGCATAACTAGATTAAGGTACAGCCAGTTGGATATGGTGGTTCTTATTTATCCTAACACTTAAGAGACCAGGGAAGTTTGACTATTTAATAAGAGACTGTCATTAAATAAAAAAAATAGAAATACACTCCATGTTTTTCTGGCTCTAGCTCTGTGTTCCCACCCAAGTAACTAGGAAGAAATACATATAAGATAAATTTTTGATATAGATTTGATAGTATAACAGCTGATCATGTCTAGCTAAAAAATACCAGAATTCTAGTTTTAGAGAGTAGAGAATGAATGGGACAATAGATGATAATAGTAAAGTCTGGAAATGAGTTTGATGGGGACAAAATAATTTCTTTTTTTTTTGGTGCCAGTCCTGGGACTTGAACTCAGGGCCTGTGTGCTATCCTGAACTTTTATGCTCTCCCTCTTTTTTTTTTTTTTTTGTCAGTCATGGGGCTTGAACTCGGCCTGGGCACTGTTCCTTAGCTCTTCAGCTCAAGGTGAGCACTTGAACCAAAATCCTCAGATATCAGCCTCCTGAGTAGCTAGGATGACAGGTGTGAGCCACCGGCACCCAGCTATGCTCTACTTCTTGATCCACAGCTCCACATCCAGTGGGGTTTTTTTTTTGTTGTTTGTTTTGTTTTGTTTTTTTTTTTTAAATCTTTTTTGTCAGTCATGGGCCTTGAACTCAGGACTAGGTCCTGTCCCTGAGCTCTTTTGTTCAAGGCTTGTGCTTTACGACTTTGAACAACAGATAAGAGTCTAATGGATTTTCCTGCCCAGGCTGGCTTCAAACTGATCTTCAGCTCTCAGCCTCCTGAGTCACTAGGATTATGGGTGTGAGCAGCTGGCACCTGGCTGGAACAAAATAACTTGTTTAGTTTTTAATTTTTTTTCTGTCTAGTACTAGATGCTTGAACAGAGCTTTGTATTTGGTCAGCTTCTGTGCTTGGTTAGTGCTCTACCACTTGAGACATACCTATATAAACCAACATTTTGATGGTTGTTTTAGAGGAGTTAAGGCTGAGACCTGAGGATTGTAGTTTGAAGCCAGCCTGGGTAGGAAAGTCTGTGAGACTTTTTTTTTTTTTTTTTTTTTTGTCATGGGGCTTGAAGTCAGGGCCTAAGTGCTATCCCTGAGCTCTTTTGCTCAAGGCTAGTTCTCTGCCACTTTGAGCTACAGAGCCACTTCTTATTTTTTGGTGGTTGATTGGAGCTGAGAGTCTCATGGACTTTCTTACCTGGGCTGGCTTTGAACTTTGATCTCAGATCTCAGCCTCCTTAGTAGTTAGGATTAGAGGTATGAACCATCAGTGCCCAGCCCAGGCAACTCTTTATCTCCAGTTAGTCTCAGAAAAGCTGGAAGTGGCACTGTGAATCAAGTGGTAAAGTGCTAGTCTTGAGCAAAAAGGAGCTCAGGGACAGCACCCAAGCACAAAGTTCGAGCCCCAGGACTGACAAAAAAAAGTCCAGAAATTCAGGATTTTGAAAGGTACCTGGTTGCAGAGGTTTCAGATAAGGGATTGTGGTTGTCTTTAGTGGGTCTGAGCAAAACATCAATAGAGAGTTAAGTGCATTACAGAGTATTTTATGCTAATTGAGGGACTCACAACATGTATTTAATCCATGGACTTTGTTTAGATTTTAGTATTTGGAATCGAACCCAGGGCTTTACACATGCTAGTCAAACACTACAACTGAGCTACATTTCTAGCCTTGGACTTTATTTTAATGCTATTTGTGACATTTGAATGAAGAAAGCTAAAAAGATGAGTGTATTTTCAGTTGGAAAAGACTGTTTTACTTATAGTATTTCCATTTCCCCCTTTTCTTTTTAAAGCAAAGTTCTCATATAGATGTGGTTCGCTTTCCATGTGTTGTTTATATAAACGAAGTCCGAGTCATACCCCCAGGAGTAAGAGCCCATAGCAGCCTACCTGACAACAGAGCATATGGGTAAGTTTCTGTATAACTACTTTGACTAAGACTGATATATATTAACGTTGGGAGTGAAGGTGTGGCTCAGGTGGTAAAGTGCAGGCCTTGAGCAAAAAAGCTAAGCAAGAGTGAGAGGGCCTAAGTCAATCCAGCACAGGCACTAAACAAAAAACACAATAACAAAAAGAAATGAATATATATTGTGTTGGGGATCAAATCCAGGTCATCATACATGTTAGCCAAGCACTCATATCATTGACCTGTATCTTCAGCCCAGGATAAAGTGTTTTTGACTTGGCTTTTCCTTTTTAAAGTAATTCAGGATTAATTTGAATATTTGGAATTTTTATTTATTTTTTTTGCCAGTCCTGGGGCTTGAACTTAGGACCTGGGCACTGTCCCTGAGTTTCTTTTGCTCAAGGCTAGCACTCTACTACTTGAGTTTTCTGCTTATGTAGTACTGAGGAGTCAAACCCAGGGCTTCATGCATGCTAGGCAAGTACTCTACGTGTGTGTGTGTGTGTGTGTGTGTGTGTGTGTGTGTGTTGGGGGGGGTCTGGTCATACCAGTGTGTGTGTGTGTGTGTTTTTGGGGGGGGTCTGGTCATGCGTCCTAAACTTTGGGCCTGGGCGCTGTCCCTCAGCTCTTCAGGTCAAGGCTAGCGCTCTACCACTGGAGCCACAGCACCACTTCCGGCTTTTTTCTTTTTGCTTATGTGGTGCTGAGGCACCTCAGGCATGCAAGGCAAGTGCTCTACCACTGAGCCACCTTTCCAGCCCCTAGAAATGTATTTTTATTATTTTCTTTCTCTCTCCTTCTTCCTCTCTTCCTCTCTCCCTCCCTCCCTCCTTACCTCCTTCCCTCTCCCCCTATTTTTCTTTCATTTGGTACTGATATTTGAATCCAGGATCTTTTAGCTACTCTTCCATCCTCTCACCCACATTTAAAAAATTTTATTGTGACAGGTTTTCACTAATTTACCCAGGCTGACTTTGTTGTTGGTCCTGGGGCTTGAACTCGGGTCCTAGGTGCTGTCCCTGAGTCTCTCTGTGTTCAAGTAGCACCTTGAGCCACAGTGCTACTTCTGGTGTTTTGGTGTTTAATTGGAAATAAGTCTCAAGGAATCTTTTGTCCAGATTGTTTTTTTTTTTTTTTTTGGTCGTGGGGCTTGAACTCTGGGCCTGTCACTGTCCCTGAGCTCTTCAGCTCAAGGCTAACACTCTTATCACTTTTATTGGAGATAAGAGTCTCACGGACTTTTCCTGCCCAGGCTGGCTTTGAACCGCAACCCTCAGATCTCAGCCTCTTGAGTAGCTAGGATTACAGGTGTGAGCCACCGGTACCTGGCTCCAGACTGGTTTTTAACTGTGATCCTCATTTCTCTGCCTCCTGACTAGTTAGGATTATAGGTGTGAACCACTGGCTGCTTTCTTTTTTGTAAGTTCTGTTTGATAAAAAATTATTATTAGAGCTAACAGAGTGTCTCAAGTGGTAGAACACCTGGCTAACAAGTATGAGGTATTGAATTCAAACCCCACTACTACGAGGAAAAAAGAAAGTTAAGAGATGGAGGTATAGATAACTTTAACAGCGGACATCAAAGAGAGGAATGTGATCTTTATTATAACATGAATAATCATTATTTTTCCAATTTTAATTACATAGGTTAGAGATACTAGCTTATAGCCTAGGTATTAGTTTTATGTATTAATGTATTTCATTTTATTAATGTTATGAATAATTTCTATTATGTGAAAAAATTACTTATAAGAATTATGGAATAGAGTCAAAGTTAAAGAGTTCTAATTATAAGAAAGTTATTTATAAGCCGGGCGCTGGTGGCTCACGCCTGTAATCCTAGCTACTCAGGAGGCTGAGATCTGAGGATCGCGGTTCAAAGCCAGCCCGGGCAGGAGAGACTGTGAGACTCCTGTCTCCAATAAACCACCAGAAAACCGGAAGTGGCGCTGTAGCTCAAGTGGTAGAGCGCTCGCCTTGAGCTGAAGAGCTGAAGGACAGCGCCCAGGCCCAGAGTTCAAGCCCCACGACCGACCAAAAAAAAAAAAAAAGAAAGTTATTTATAAATAACTTTAAATTTATAAGTAAGTTTATATGTAAAATCTTCAGAGCTGCAGTTTAAAAATTAAAATGAAACTAAGAATTTTTCATTAATGCTTATGATTAAGAAAATTAACAGCTGGGTGCTGGTAGCCCACACCTATAATTTTAGCTGCTCAGGAAGTTGAGATGAGGATTGTTGTTTAAGGCCTTGCATGGAGAAAGTCCATGTATCTCTTATCTCCAGTAAACTACCAAAAACAAAACAAAACAAAAACCTGGAAATGGAGCTGTGACTCAAGTGGTAGAATTCTATTCCTTGAGCAAAAGAAACACAGGGACAGTGCCCAGGTTCTGAGTTTAAACTCCACGACTGACCAATACACAAAAAGAAGAAAATTGAAGCAAGGCACTGGTGGCTTGTGCCTATATAATCCTAGCTATTCAGGAGGTTGAGATCTGAGGATCACAGTTCAAAGCCAGCCAGGGCAGGAATGTCCGTGAGACTCTTCTCACAAAAATCTGGAAATGAATCTGTGGCTCAAGTGGTAGAGAGCTAGCCTGGAACACAAAAGCTCAGGGACAGTGTCCAAGCCCAGAGTTTAAGCTCCAGGACTGGCAAAAAGAAAATTAAAACTTTTATCTTCATCCTATACATTTTTCTCACACTTATCAGACAAAAGGAAATAAATGTGTATAAAATGGAAAAGATGGAAAATAATAGTATATCCAGTAGCCTTTTCTGGTTATACTGTTTTGGTCAGGAAAGGTATATTGGTTATCGTTTTTATGCAGTTGTAGGGCTTGAACTCAGGGCCTGGGTGCTCAGTTCCACTTCTGGTTTTCTGGTGGTTAATTGGAGATAAGTCACATAGACTTTTTTGTTGTTGTTGTTGTTGGTTGTGGGGCTTGAACTGGGCCTTGGCGCTGTCCCTGGACCTCTTTGTACTTAAGGTTAGCATTCTACCACTTGAGCTACAGCACCACTTCCAGTTCTTGAGTGATTAATTGGATAAAAGTCCTATGGGAACTTTTCTGCTTGGGTTGGCTTCAAACTGCAACACTCAGATCTCAGCTTCCTGAGTAGCTAGGATTACAGGTGTGAGCCACCAATATGGGGCTCTCATAGACTTTTCAGCCTGGGCTAGCTTTTTTTTGGTCAATTGTGGTCCTTGAACTCAGGGCCTGGGCACTGTCCTTGAACTCATTTGCTCAAAGCTTGTGTTCTACCACTTTGAGCCACAGTGCCACTTCTCATTTTCTGGTGGTTAATTGGAGATAAGAGCTTATGGACTTTCCTGCCCAGGCTGGTTTTGAACTGCAGTCCTCAGATCTCAGCCTTTTGAACAGTTAGGATTACAGGCGTGAGCCATCAGCCCCTAGCCTGCTTATCTATTTTTTTTTTTTTTTTGCCAGTCATGGACCTGAACTCTGGGCCTGGGCGCTGCCCTTAGCTCTTCAGCTCAAGGCAAGCGCTCTACCGCTTGAGCCACAGCACCACTTCCAGCTTTTTCTGTTTATGTGGTGCTGAGGAATCGAACCCAGGGCCTCATGCATGCAAGGCAAGCATTCTACCACTGAGCCACCTTCCCAGCCCCACAGTGCCACTTCCTGCTTTTTTCTTTTTGCTTATGTAGTGTTGAGGAATTGAACCCAGGGCCCCAGGCATGCAAGGCAAGCGCTCTACCACTGAGCCACCTTCCCAGCCCTTGCTTATCTATTTTTAAAAGTGTAATTATACTCTAGGTGCCGGTGGCTCACGCCTGTAATCCTAGCTACTTAGGAGGCTGAGAGCTGAGGATCACGGTTCAAAGCCAGCCTGGGCAGGGAAGTTTGTGAGACTCCTATCTCAAACCACCAGAAAACCAGAAGTGGCACTGTGGCTTAAGTGGTAGAGTGCTTGCCTTGAACTGAATAGCTTAGGGACAGCGCCCAGGCTCAGAGTTCAAGCCCCATGACTCACAAAAAAAAAATTAAATAATGAGCATCATGTATTTTGACTAGTATCATCCCTTCTATCATTCTCCCATATCTTTTCCAATCCCATCCATACCTTCA